TCCTCTGCAACTAACGTCCTGCATGACCTTGGGCAAGGCACTTCACCTTTCAGTACCTCAGCTTCCCTGCCTGAAAGAGAGGTGCTGTTTCTGGTCTGTCAGTGTTTTGAGACCAGCTGATAAAATGCTGCATGTAAGTGTGGCATTGTAAGAATGAGATGAGGAAGGCCATTCCATTTTCCTGAGGATTTAGCTGCCTTGAAATTTGGTTTTATTCGGATTAGGAACACAAAAAAAAAAAAAAAAAAGCCCCAACAAGATTGAAAACTCTGCCTGAAAGGAAATGGAGTCCTGTCTCCCTGGTGGCTGCTTCAGCACCATACACATTGGATATTACCTGGCCTTCCCTGCAATATCTGCCTGGCAATGGGATCTCAATAGCACCCTGCCTGGCTTTCCTGGTACCTTCAGCATACTTGAACCTACTCAGTGAAAAGTTTTCATTTTCCCCAAACTGGCAAATTCTGACAAAGCAATGTGTGTCCATTGCTTTTCATCATCTTCCATAAAGTTCCCAGTAAGTCATTCTTTCCCTCTGACATATATCATGTGAATGACTTGCACCCCTCTGCCTACAGCCCACTGTCCCCATGGTCCCCTTGAGCTCAGTCCAGCTTCCTGGCCATTGCGGGCTTAGCGCAAAGAACAAACATAAGACTTGGCTGCCCCTAGGTTGTAGAATAAAACACAACATCCAGAAATGCAGACAGGCCATGTGAGTCACAGGAACATCACAGCACATCCAAGAAAAATGGCTGGGGCTCAGGTGTCCAAACCAGAGTCTGTTTCTCTTCTTAACGCACAAGGTCTGAGAGTTTTCACAGTCACTGAAAGTGTTTCCACCCCCATCTTCCATCCTCTCTCTCTCTCCTGTCCAGTCCAGGATACAAGCCATCGCACCCTAGGATTGCAATGGGAAGACAGAGCAGATCTGCATCTCCACCCTGCTGCCAGTAAATTGTCACCAAATGTCTGGGTCAGGCACCCTGATTTGGGGTTGCTTAGCAAACAATGCAGTCAGATCCCCAACCTGGATTTATCAGTCAGAAGTGGAATATGCAAAACATTTCTCTTAACCTGCAGCTGGGGAGGGAACTGCCAAGGAGGCCAAGCTGAAATCTGAAGCTGCTGTTTTTCCTGAGAAGGAGACCTTGGCACGCAATTCAGACAGACAGACAATGAAAGCAGAGAGCAACACAAGAAATCACAGCTGGCAACTTGGCTGGGATGTGCTAGGGAGGGAGGAGGCAGCAGTACATGTGGGGCACGAGACAGGCTTACCTGTTTGCCCTTGGGGATTCATCGCGTAGCACCTGAGGTCTGCTAGCCTGTGATCACTCTGGGAAGCGAGTCTGGAGCCACCATTTATCCTTCTGCCTCTTGCTCTCCGACTTCCCCTTTGTTACTCTCTGAAGACTAAGGCATCCTTCTGAGCAGCATAAAGCAGCTGATTAGTTCCCCGTGCCACTGAAAATCAGAGAAACTCTAAAGTGACGTTCCTCTCATTTTGGAGTTCTCTTCTCCTCAGGTGGCCTAGACTGGCACTAGGTTCCTATTGACCCTGGGGGCTGGAACAACCCTGCCTGTACCTTGAGCAGTTGTGCCCTGCTCATATCTCTCTCACTTTATAGCCCAGTGTTTATCTCCAAGGTCTCTTGATTATTTCCTGATTTTTCAGCCCTGATCAATATTTGCTTTTTCTTTCAGCACCTGTTTCCCAGCTGTTTGCTTCTCACACATCTCCAGCTCCCACCAGGAAAGCAGTACTGGTGACAGAAATGGACAGTGCAGACTAGAGAGTAGAGAGCCAGTCAAGCAGGGGGAACCCAATATTGAGTCCATCCTGTCAGACAGAGGGGAGGCATGACAAGATAATGAGTCACTATGGCTGCTGCCACAGAGCAAGGCTGTGCATTAATTTGAAACAAGGGGTGGCATGGATGCACTGTCTGTGAGCTGGGGCATTTACTCAGTCATGATAATAAAGATTACAGCCCCTTGTGCATTTCTCTGCAATGCCTGATACCATGACTGGCTTAACATGAGATGGGGCATGCACAGTACAGATCCCTACACAGAAGTTAACCCCATGCAGCCCAGAGAAACTTTAGGAATTAACACAAAATGAAGAAGCCGTGTACCTAAATAAATAAATAAAATCCCGAACTGTTTTTCTCATGATTAATTTTTCTTCCTTCGAGTTCATTCTTCTCCCTGTGCTGGCTTTGAAGTTATCTGGATACTGACAGACCCAGGCTCTGTGCCAGGCTGCCACTGAAATGAGACTTGGACACCAGAATCCTGCAGAAATGTTATGCATGGCACATCTGCCCCCAGAAATATTTTGTGTATAGCAACTTCTTTCCCCCCTCCAAAAAAAAAAAATCACTGGAAAGAAACCCATTGAAAAAGATGGTGAAACCGGAATGATTTGGAAGAAGTGTCAGTTATTATTTAACTGTTTGGTATGCAAAGGATTAACTGGGTTGGAGCCAATGCCCTGAAGCTGTCAGCCTGTGTCAGTGACTAGGTGTCTGGGTTTGTAAGATTTAATGACTCTATACTAAATGTTTGAGGCTGATACATTCCAAGCTGCAGCCTGATAATGTTTCAGAAAGATGTGTAGTAGGGCTGTGCGAGACAGCATCGTTCCACTTCGACTTCCGTTTTGACATTTCAGTAGAACAGTGTTTTGTTTCGAGTTTTGTTTAGTTTTGAAAGCATTGTTCTGTTTCATTTAATTGAAACTGTTTTGCTGTTTTGATGCTGTTTCGACTTTCGCCAACCCAGTGCCAGGAAGATTGCTGCTGCTGCTGGCCCCAGGCAGCAGCACCAGCCTCCTGTCACCTGGCAGACAGATTGGGGGCCTGCACCCCCGGGAGTAGTCCAGCACAGCCCCCACAGCCCTCCTGGAGTACGGGGGGTGGAGGGGAGGGGGGGCGTGCTGGTGGCGGGGCCCAGCAGCACCGATCTTCCCAGCATGGGCTGTGCCCAGCTGCAGCACCCACCTCCTGTCATCTGGCAGGCAGATCAGGGCTGCCCGCACTCTGGGTGGGCTGTGGGAGCTGTCCCGGACTGCTCCCGGGGGTGCGGGTCCCCATCTGCCTGCCCTGGGACCGGGGTGGGGGCGGGTCCCCAAACAAGCTGATTTGCACTGGGCCCTGCACCCTCCTCAGGCCAGTTCTGGTATGGGGCTCCTGTGGGGACCCGCTGCTGCCCCATTCCCAAGGAGGGGGAGGGTCCCTGCATGAGCTGATTTGCCCCAACCCCATACCGGAGCTGGCTCGAGGAGGGTGTGGGGCCCAGGGCAGATCAGCTCGTGCGGGGACCCTCCCCTGCTCTGAGATTGGTGCGGTGGGTCCCCACGTGAGCTGATATGCCCCAGACCACCCTGCTGCTGGCCTCAGGCAGCAGCACCAGCCTCCTGTGATCCGGGAGGCAGATCGGGGGCCCGCACCCCCAGGAGCAGTCCGGCAAAGCCCTTGCAGCCTTTCCGGAGAAGCGGCCAGGCCCCGTCTGCCTGCTGGTTGACAGGAGGCTAGTGCTGCTGCCTGGGGCCAGCGTCCGCACCGATCTTCCCAGTGCTGGGTGCAGGTTGCACCCAGTGCTGGCCCCAGTCGGCAGCACCAGCCTCCTGTGATCTGGCAGGCAGATTGGGGGTCGCACCCCCAGAGGAGTCTGGCACAGCCCTGCAGCCCTCCTGGGGGTGCGGGTGGGCCCCAATCTGCCTGCTGTATGACAGGAGGCTGCAGTTGCCAGCTGGGACTGGTGCTGAAGCCAGTAAGCCTGGCTTTGAAACTCGATACGTTTAAAAAGTTTCAAAATGTTTCGAGCGCCCTTGTTTCGTTTCAAAACTGTTTCGAAGGCTTTTGTTTCTTTTTGATTTCACTGTTTTGAGCTCGAAATGCATCAGAACAGCTTTGAAATGAAACACTAGGCAAAATTTCGCACCTCCCTAAAGTGTAGATCATCTGGCCTGTATAGCACAGGCCACAGCACCTCACCCCGACATTTCTGCCTCAGGCGCATAACTCCTAAACAGCCAGTCTGGTTTGAAAGACAACATGCTTATCTCCAAGGTTTCTTGATTATTTCCTAATTTTTGAGTCCTGCCCAGTATTTCCCCTCCATTTCCACTGTGTCTTTTGGTTACTCGTGCCAGGGGTTAATTATTCTCACTAGTAAAACAGTTGTGCCCTATTTCTCATCTGAATTTGCGTTGCTGCAGCTTCCAACCATTGAATCCCTCTATGCCTTTTCTATTGGATTAATGAGTGATCTGCTGTCAGAAATTTGTTCCCCATTTAGATACTTGCAGACCATGAACAAGGCATCCTTTAACCTTCCTTTGGTTAAATTAATTAAAATGAGGTTCCCAAGCTTCTCTCTAAAAGCCATGCTCCCAATCTCAAACCCTTCTTGTAGCTCTTTTTCCAGGTTACAGTCCCTTACAGTATTCCAGCCTCCTTTTTGAAGTGTGCACGCCAGAACTGGTGACAATTTTATGATGCAGCTTTGAAACCAACTAAGTGGGCCTGTTACCAACAAAGGCATTAGATTGAGGCCTTGTACATTTGCACTTGACAGCTCGAGCAAAACTCCAGTGATTGATCATGACTAAGACCTTAGAGCATTAAATCAATATTTACTGATGACTGTACTTAAAATGCATGTCCAATACTATTTTTAAAATTACTTTTTCAATATCTCCATTCAGTAGTCCTGCCTGTCTCTCATGGGGATGACTTAGTAACCATGGCACGTGACCACGCATAGAACTTACCCCGCAACAGCTTGGAAAGTCTCTAATTTCCAAAGTTTTGGCATATAGAAGCAGCCATTCAGAATCAAACCTATGGATCCTTTATTCCAATAGCCTTCCTCAGGCAGTGGATCAAAGCAGATGTTTTGGAGGGAGGTGTAAAGCAGTAAGGAGATGTCCATATAATATCTAACTGTGGAATAACCTGAATACAAGGAATTGTCTTCCCCTGACTTGTAGGTTTCTCTTCTGAAGATAGAGGGCTCATATTGAAGCAAAGGATTTCTAACAGGAAAGGTAACTCTCTCAGTTCAGCTCTGCATCATATGACTTCCAATTTGGTTTGTTTGTTCATCATTCCCTTTTATCATCATTCCCTTTTATTATCTTTTAAGCACTTTGGGATGGGGAGGGACACAGGTTCTCAGAAAACTATTTTTTGTCATGACCTGTTGTTGCAACTGCTTGTGCAGTCCATGCCTGCAGAGATTTAGGCACTCAGATCATAGAATCATAGGAAATGAGGGTTGGAAGGGACCTCAGGAGGTCATCTAGTCCAACCCCCTGCTCAAAGCAGGACCATCCCCAACTAGATCATGCCCACCTGGTTGAAATGAGTCATTTGTTCTTCTCTAGCATGACATTTTCCTTTGATCAAAAGGCACAGAGATCACTTCCCAGAGAGGGGCTTCATCACCCACCTCCTGGACTGGCATGGTCACTGTGTTTGGAGCTGTCACTAATTGCCTTGTTTAATACCTTGTAGTAGCTTAGAAATCTGGGACTCCCGCTGACATTTCTTGTCTACACTGACAAGGAATGACAGCTCTAACCAGCTGTTAGAAGGTACCCTGAACGACCTTACTCTTCCTAATGCAGTCTCTTAACAGGGGCTTTATCTTGACTCTGAGCAAAGGACGGAGACGCTCTCCTGGATCAGCTTCATAGCTGATATGATTTACAGTCTGTTTGTTTGTACTCAAAACAGATGGTGGCCTCAAACCTCCACTTTTATCACTAATATTTCCTTTCCACAACTTTCAATCAGATAGTAGGCAAACTGTGCCAGATCAGGCCCCCTGCTATTGCTTTGACAGTGGCACCTCTTCCCTCCCAGCCAACCAAGGCTTTCTGTGAGTGGTAGCTGCTGGCTGCATTTTTTGCTTTGAGTTGCACTGCAATTTGCATTTTAATGGCCATGTATAGCACTCCCATGGCCCTGTAGGAATATGAGCTGCCTTCCCATATTGGCTTGAGTGTGGGCTCTCCTCCCCTTCTCTTGGCTGGGATAAAGGCTACAACACAAAGGTGCCCATTGTGCATTGAGATGCAGGGTTAGCGCTAGGTTTTAGTTGTATTTTGAAAATGTGCAAAAAGGGGGATCCAGTTATTCTGAAAGTATCTGGATAATTTGCTCCCAATTTAGCTTTCATCTAATATAAGATTGTATTATTTGGTCATTGGCATTGTTTTTACGTTATTCTACTCGTATCCAGATGCTGCATGGTGCTTGGAGCCTGATCAATAATGCATTAATGAAAAGCAAATAAATAAGTGTGTCCCCAAGGAGCTGGAAAAATGCTCCAAATTCCAAGTTTTAAAAAAATGTAACCAACTAAAAAATAAGTAACATCTTGAGGTTTTGGAAAACTGGATCAAGTCTCTTTCATTCTAGGAGCCCAAATACTTGGGTATCCACATTAGACCAATAAAATAAATAGGAAAGCACAGAGTATGCCCTAGAAAAGCAACCAATGAAGAAAAAACTGCAAAATGCTGAAGAGAAGGATGAAGGTTCAGTGAGGTAACCTCTTTCTGTGAAGAAGTGAAGGTAAAATTGTCCTTGCAAAGAGCTGGATTCTATGGGAAATCGCACGCCACCATGGACAGGCTGGTGGCCGTTGTATTTTAGTATGGGAAGAGTATTTGTACATCACCAAGCACAAAGTCCTTGTCAGCTCCAATGCATGATCACAGCATATAATTATAGTAGCAATTAACAATATTAAGTGACTCCAAGAGTAGCAACTGCTCCAAATGGAGAAAAGCTGTGCTCATGCCCTAATGTACTTAATTATTGGGAATGCAGTAGCAGCTGAATGCATAGTGATCAATCCTCACATTTCACGCACCCAAGGGCTCAGCTGCATGAAAATATTTCTGAAATAATTTGCTGGATTAATGAGGGTTCCCAGGCACATCAGGAAACTCTCACAGGGGCATTTGAACCTGGATTGACTTGGAGGCTGCCATAGCAAAAAAAGCTATATTTTCTCAAATACAGGCAACTCCCACTTAATGCTGTTTTACTTGGCACTGTTTCACTATAACGCTCATTTGAAATTGATGCCTGATTTCACTTAGCGCTCAGCGAGTTTCGTTATAATGCTCGTGGTCGCCATCTTGGGTCATCAAATACTTTTGGTGTCGCTTAATGCTCGTTTCACTTAACGTTCAGTTTTTCAGGAACCAATTAAGAGCGCTAAGTGGGGTTCGCCTGTATATACTTTTCAAAACTGCTTTCAAAAAATCTTCCCACACAGATATAATGTTCTGCAAGTTTGTGTGGGATTTTGCTTGGGCAGATATAGGCATGTGGAAAAAGGCCTTGGAATCAATTTAGGAGACTTCCTGGAAAATGGACTCTGCAATTTACTAAAAATTGACCCAATTCCAGTTTGTGCCTGGGTTGGTGGTTAATTTATGTGGACTGCTCTGCCCTGTGCACTACCCATGACCCTCAGCCTGGCCTGATGTTTATCTGTGAGAAAAGAGTGAGCATAAAGCCATCATTCCCCCTTCACTCAGAGATGTCCTGCTCTTCCATTGGCTGGAGAGGACAGAATTGCAGCCAGCTATAAAGCACTTGGCTGCACATCCCCTCTGCCTAGTTTACAAGTGAAAACAGGCTTGTCCAGCTGCCAGCCCAGTTCGGTGTCTGAAAACCCAGCTGAGTTGTTTGTGTTTGGTGTATCCTCGCTGAGTATAATTAATTGAGCTGCAATGGACTTCCCAGTCCATAGCCACTGCAGCTCTCATCTGAGGTTTCCAAAGCTGCTTAAGAGATTTGGGTACCCTTTTCAATCCAAGGGCACTGGAATTGTGTATCTAAAGTCTTCTGGCTTAGAAATTTCAGTCTTAAGTGCCTTTCACTTGTCTAGCTCTTGATTTTTTTTTTTTTTTTTTTATCCTTGGTCTAGCAAGATGATCATAGATGACCTTGGTCACATCTACTTCCATAATCACCAGGGACAAATCTCTTTAAAGAGCTTGTTGGCTACAAATGTCCAACTCGGGATCCTTAAAATTCTGGTTTATTAGGCGGATTGAAACACTGTAATGAGTTAAATCATAAACCTTGGGGCTGGTCCTTCCATACACACACACACACACACACACACACACACACACACACAAGCAAGCTACAAGAGTCAGATATACCTATCCCACAGGCGCTGAAGTCTGTTGTTGAGGCTTCTTTCAGCGTGGTGTTATCTTCCAGAAGGGGGTCACCGGCTGGTCCTTCTGGCTGGACAGGTTGGGTGCTGGTCAAGTTGGAGATCAAGAGGGCGCCACTGAGGGTCACTTTTCACTGCTTTTTATCTGTCCTTGGCAGACTTTGGTGACTCCCCAGTTTTCAGGTTTGCCCAATCCAGGGGTCGTTG